GCACATCCCTGGGCACTACGGGACAATTTAGCACGGCCAATCCACCCTAACCTGCACATCCCTGGGCACTACGGGGCAATTTCCCACGGCCAACCCATCCTAACCTGCACATCCCTGGGCACTATGGGACAATTTAGCACGGCCAATCACCCTAATCTGCACACCTTTGGACTGTGGGAGGAAACTGGAGCACCCGGAGGAAACCCACGCAGGCACGGGGAGAATGTGCAAACTCCACACAGTCAGTCGCCCGAGGGTAGGATCAAACCCGGGTCCCTGGCGCCGTGAGGCAGCGGCGCTAACCACTGAGGTGCCATGTCTCCGTCAAAATCAAGCACAAATTCAAAAAGTTGAATAGAAATCTACATGACGGAACAAAAGCTTCCTAAGTTAAAAGTCACATCTCCTGGGCTGGCTGGCGGTGATTCTTCTCAAATTAAGCCGAGCAGGATAATTCAACTTTGAGAGCACATTCTGGGAGTTTCTCTTTGGGAGCAGAAGGGGAGTCGGACGATGACATCAACAGCGACCTTGCCGTCAAATAATCATTTCATGGGATCTGGGTGTCGCGTTTATTGCACGTTCCCAACTGGCCTGGAGGAGGCGGTAGTGAGCTGTGTCGCCCACAGACAGATCGAGCTAGGAAAGGCCTGCTCCTAACCCTTTTGAAGTGTGCGACAGGCCCCCTTCAGGAGAGATCTGGCCTCCTTAGCCAGTCTGGACGTGACTCCATGCCAACCCCCGTGGCTCCAGGCAACAGCTCTGAAGCTAATGCCGAGACAGACCTCAGTTTGTGGGGCAAATAGGGTGTCGGAGGGGTAAACAGAGGCTGGGCCTCAGCGTAAAAGACTAAAAAACCAAACCTTCAGAGAGAGCAAGGCCTAAAAAGGGTGGGACCCAGCTGAGAGAGAAAATAAGAAGTGTTAAACGAGTCGGAATTTATTTTACACCGTGTCAATGATTACATTATGAACCATTAAGACAGAGAAAAAAAAAGGTAGTGAATGTTAACAAAATGCTAACAGCAAACTGAAGTACTTGGGTCAAAACTGTACCAGAACAGGGTATAAACTTCCAGACCTGCCCCCCCAGCCCGGTTTAAACTTCCCACCCTCCGGAATGGGATTGTCGTGTGCGTTGAGGATGTAGTGGGAGCCTCAGCCCTCCCTCAGGAGTTGCGGATTGGAATGCTGCGTGGGAAGGGAGAGGGTAGAAGCGGTTTTGATGGGAACAGGACCCCACCCACAAACCCCTCGGTGCAGGGCAGACGGGATCGGACCATGCTCACCGACCCTGCCCCTCCACCACCACCAACCAACAACCACCACCCCCCCCTACCCACCGCCCCAACTTCAACTGCCATGGCGTTAGGGCAGCTCTGCCCCTCCCATGGCGCTGCTGCCGTGGGGTTCGGAAGGAAGAGATGCGAGTTTCCGACTGGCGCCAGCTCCCCCCAGCCACCCTTACCCCCCACCGTGTGACGGGGGGTGGGGAGGTGTTGGATTGGAACGGGAGGCGAGGCGAGCTGGCCCAGAAAATGCTCGTTTGTAGAGGGAAGTGGGAGTAAAAGGAGAGAGAGAGAGACAGCAGGGCAGAAAGAGAAGTGGACAGGGGAAAAGAAAACCGGGGAAGACAGAGATGGTGGGTGAGAAAGTGGGGAAAGGAGAGAGAGAGAGAGAGAGAGATTGAGCAAGCGGGAAGAGAGAGAAAATTCAGAGAAAAGAGGTAGAGAGAATTAAAAAAAAAGTGAAAACAGGGGATGAGAGGGGGGAAGAAAGCAGAGAAAATAGAGAGGAAGAGAGAAGCAGGGAAAAGAGAGAGAGAGGGAGAAAGCAGAGACAGAGAGGGAGAAAGCAGATAGAGAGAGAGGGAAAGAGAGGGGAGAGAAAGGAAGGAAAAGAGAGACAGATAGAGACAAAGAGCAGAAGACAGACAGAGCACAAGACGGACAGAGACACAGAGAGAGAGAGACACACAGAGAGGGAGAGAGAGAGAGACAGAGAGAGACAGAGACAGAGAGAGAGACCGACAGAGAAAGGGAGAGACAGAGACACAGAGAGAGAGAGAGAAAGCCAAGAAAAGACAGCAAGCCTGGGGAGCAGGGTGGGAGCAGGTTTCCAGAGGACCCGGTGAGGGGGTGGGGTTGGACATTATTTGAATGTAAACAAATCCTATCTCAGGGTCTCGGACCATTTCTACGGAAAAGAAAGAAAGAAAGAAAAATCTGCACCCAAAGAAATTGCACCTCACCCAATAGTAAAGATCATCATAAGGCATCAGATTAGAGTTTTAATCATCCTCCCCCCAGGATGGGGAGAGGCAAGGTCTGAGGAGAAACATCCCGCAAGTAAGAAAGGAAGGGCTCTGATATGCTACCTCTGCAGTACTGCACCCTGCCAGAAACGGGAGGGGGGTGTGCCCGAGTACTGCAGTGTTGCTAACAAAATTGGCCACCACCCCAGTTGAATCAAAGATGGCCACCACCATCCAGTTGACAGCAAAAATGGCCACCACCGCAGTTGAATCAAAGATGGCCACCACCATCCAGTTGACAGCAAAAATGGCCACCACCTCAGTTGAATCAAAGATGGCTGCCACCATCCAATTGACAACAAAAGTGGCCGCCACCTCAGTTGAATCAAAGATGGCCACCACCATCCAATTGACAGCAAAAATGGCCACCACCTCAGTTGGCACCAACATCAAAAATGGCCACCACCCCAGCTGACACCAAGTGCTCGATGGTCAAGTCAGACAAAGTGGGATTTGGTTTCGGAGAGGTGGTGGGAAACAGAGGAATAGATAAAGGCCTTCAACTGGCTTAGCGAAGCAAATCCATTCTTTTGTTCTACCCCCCCCCCACCAAGTTGCCCCTCATTCCATTCGCCTGACCCAACACGAGGGAGGGAAATGAGCAGGACGGGCAATGGGCTCAACAAATCCATCCCCCAACAGGGAAAGCAAAGAGTTAGCAACCCAACCGTGACTGGCACCCCTGCCAACATCCAGAGGGCATCAGACAGGGGTGGGGGGAAAGAGGCGTACTGGCTGTATATTCATTGAACCCCTTTACCCACCACACTGCCCCCCACCGCCACCAACGCCACCCCCCCGCAATCCCCCGAACGCCTCCACCGCGTGGCAGGACGGGTGGAGGTGGAGCGCGAGCAAGGGGCTACTTGGTGAAGGCTGCCAGGACAGCCCAGATCATCTCGTCGGCGTTGGGTTTGGCAGACTCCACCTCGGGGTTGAGTTCCAAGAGCTCGCGCGAGCGGCTGGTGGCCAACTCATACTGGTCATCCATCAGCGGGACGAAGGCGTTCTCCAGCACATCGGAGCTGTAGGCCAGGAGAACCAGTGCCAATAGCCGTCTCTCCATGTGCTGAGGCTCGCGGACCCACTTGTCCAGGAAGGCGCCCTGCACCCTCTTGACCAGCCGCTGTTTCAGGGTGTCGTTGGTCACCGGGTGCGTGGTCATGTCGAAAAGCAGGAAGTTCTGCTTCTCTGTCGTCAGCACCCCTTTCTCCACCAGGCTCTTGGCCAGTCGCTCTCGCACGTTGCGAATCTGGTAGTTCAGCTTCAGGGGGTTCCACGTTTCGCCTGGCATTGTGCCCCGCCCCATCGCCCAGCAGAGGAGGGAGGGAGGGATGAAGTGGCGAGGAGGTGCGCGGAAACAGAGAGGAACACACCGGTTAGAACCAAAGGAAATTGCAGCAGGAGACATTTGCACAGGATCGGAAGGAATTCAGAGGGGCTCGCTCAGTTTAGGAAGCCTGGACGGGTTGGGCCGAAGGGCCTGTTTGTAGCTCTACGATCCTCATTTTGTTAAAAATTCATTCACGGGATAAGGGAGCCATCGGCTAGTGTCAGCACTTAGTGCCCAGACAGCAGTTAAGAGTCAACCACATTGCTGTGGGTCTGGATTCACATATAGGCCAGACACAGCTAAGGATGGCAGTTTCCTTCCCTAAAGGACATTAGCAAACCAGATGGGTTTTTCCCCAACAATCATCATTAGACTCTTAATTCCAGATTTTTTTACTGGATTTAAATTCCACCATCAGCCGCGGCTGGGATTCAAACCCGGCTCCCCAGAACGTTAGCTGCTTCTCTGGGTTAACAGTTCAGCAATAATACCCACTAGGCTACCGCCTCTCCTTGATTCCACAGGCTCGTGACCCTCAGGGAAAGGTGGTTCTGCTCTGCGTCTCTGTTTCTAACGGGAAACTCCCTCACTTTGAAATTATACACATCCCGCCACCTCCCCCCAAGAGGGGCAAACATCTATTTCATACGATCTACCCTCAACACTCTGTTTTCCTGGCCTACCCCCAGATTGTAGCCACTTGTCAAAAAACAACACCTCTCTCTCTCCGCTTTGCAGAACACCTACGCTCGGTTCGCAATAAACAACTTCACCTCCCAGTCGCGAACCATTTCAACTCCCCCTCCCATTCCTCAGACGACATGTCCATCCTGGGCCTCCTGCAGTGCCACAACGATGCCACCCGAAGGTTGCAGGAACAGCAACTCATATTCCGCTTGGGAACCCTGCAGCCCAATGGTATCAATGTGGATTTCACAAGCTTCAAAATCTCCCCTCCCCCTACCGCATCCCAAAACCAGTCCAGCTCGTCCCTGCCTCCCTAACCTGTTCTTCCTCCCACCTATCCCCTCCTCCCACCTCAAGCCGCACCTCCATCTCCTACCGACCAACCTCATCCCGCCCCCTTGACCTGTCCGTCCTCCCTGGACTGACCTATCCCCTTCCTAACTCCCTACCTACACTCACCTTT